AGTAGTACATAAGCAAACAACATGTGTCATATCGTTCAACAACACATGAAAATACTCTAACTTCTATGTCAACATACATGCTTTCTTGATGTCAACATACGATCATGTTGATTGCTATACAATGACCAGACACTGTCCAGGGAAAGCCGTTTTAAATCAATGCGAGCAGACGTCCGGACACAACCGGACACTAGGGGACATTATGATAATGTACAAACGCATGTTTTTGTGGGGAACTGAGCTACAGCCGGACACACCGGACACAACCGGACATTGTAATAATGTACAACATGGCGTTTTTGTGAGCAAACTTACAACTGAGGCCGGACATACCGGACACAACCGGACACTATCACAATGTCCAAGTACGTTGCCGTTTGCCCATATCTGCAATGGGCCCGGTCATATCCGGACACAGCCGGACACTGTAAGAATGTACAACATCGTGCCTTTGACCGCGTTTAGGTGGCCGCCGGACATGCCGGACACAACCGGACATTGCTGTAATGTACAAGAGCGGCTTTCTTTCCTTCAAATCCATGGATGCCGGACAATGGCCGGACAATGGCCCGACTTTCGCTGGACATTAGAGGTCGGCTCTTAGGAGGGTATGATACGGTATGTTGAGGTGTGATATCAAGATGTGAAGACCGTCTCGCGCATGATGTAAGTAAGCAAGTTCGGCTCAAGTCCGAACTATTTTGTTTCCTCTTACTGGGACGATATGGCTAGTGGGGGCGCTGGCCTACTAGATGACCTTGCTGACATCGCTCAGCACGGCCACGAGCTATGAATGCAAACCAATCGCACTCCCCCCAACCGATTTTCTGACAAGGGCCAGAGAGGAAAACATATCAAGATGGAGCGGAGGAGGATGAGGAGGAGGAGGAGGAGGAGGAGGAGGAGTGGGGGAGGAGGAGGGTTGCAGGGTTGCAGGGGGAGAGGGAGGAGGAAGAGAGAAGGAGCAGGAGGAAGAGCAGGAGGAGGAGCAGGAGGAGAAGAAAGAGGAGGGTAAGCAGGAGTGTGAGGAGGGTGGGGGCACAGGATAGGGGAAGAGGGGAGGAGGGAGGAGAGGGGGGAGGAGGGCTGAGACGAGTAAGGGGCCCCAAACCAGCCCAGGTGACGATCTCGAGGTGAAGACCGATCCTGAGACCATCGAGGAGGAGGAGTCGGAGTCTGGCAGCTCCGAGCAGGCCACCGAGGAGGAGGCCCCCGGCGACTCCGACAGCGACACCACCGTTGCCCACCCGAGGACGGTTTACGGGTTAATTACCCCAATCGAGCGCCGAAAACTCTGTGGTTCTTCTTTTTCTGGTGAGAAAAGGCCTGGGACCAACCAAAACGACCTGAAATGTAAGTTAAATCTATGTGAATCTCGCGTCTGTGTGGGGCAGGAATTTTCGGGCGTCTCCCGGTGAATATCTAATCGGAGCTCGCCGATGAGCGAATCCTGGGATCGATTTTTTAAGGGGTCGCAAAAGCTGGATTTTCAACGAAATTCTGCGTGGCCCGATCCCTCCTTGGGTCGGGCGGCTCGGGCTGGGGACGCCTGGCGAGCGATCTGACATTGGGGTCTTCGGGGGTGTCGAGGTTGCCTTTCCATCCTCGGCAGTAGGAGGTCACCTCCCCTCCTCCTCCTCTTCTTCCTCCTCCTCCTCCTCCTTCTCTCTTCCTCCTCCGCCTCCTCCTCCTCCTGCTCCCCTCCTCCTCCTCCCTCTCCTCCTCCTCCTATCCTCTCTGCTGCTATTGCTGCAGCTGCAGTTGCTTATGCCGCTGCTGGCGAATCGTCCTGGGGGTCCTGATGTTTGATCACGCTCCCCCCTCCCCATCCTTCTCATGCTGCTGCTGCTGTTGCTGGCCCCCCTCCTGCTTTCTTCTCAACTACCTGAAATCCGGCGGCCCCGAAACCCAAACTGCTTCCTCCTCGAGAGGATCAGAGGACGGAGCAGGAGGAAGAGGAGAGAGGAGTGTTTTTGCGATCCTTTTTGATTCCCTGCCAGCGGCACTATCATCAACGAAGCAGCAGATACAGATGACTATCACTGGGTATTGTGGCCATCTCGCATTCGAGAGGCGTTGGGTACAACTTGCTGGGATCAAAAGGACTGGATGTCCAAGCGTGGGCGGATCGTGATAGAGACAGGCTGCAGCGGCACAGACGGCCCGGTAATGGCTTTGCAGATGCTCTTAGATGGCAGTTTCAATATCAATCACATCTCCAGTGCAGAGACAGACAGAGACGCGAGGCTGTTCCTTCTGAGAAATGGTAACCCGCAGCACCTCTTCAAGGATGTGGAGGCGTACAGGTCACCTGAGAAGTTCACATGCTATCTTCACCCTGATCGGCATTGCGGCCTTCATATGAGAGGAGATGAGATCGACATCGGGATCTACGGATTTCCTTGCAAGCCCTTCTCACAGACGAATACTGCCAAGTTCAACAGGTACCCGCAGAGCAAGTTCGATGACAAGGATGCGCAGCCGTTCTTCCTCTTATCCAGGACTGGGCCAGGAAGGAGGATGGGCGGCAAGGCTGAGGAAGATGAGTCTGCTGCAGCTGGCCTGACAATAACGAATTCTCCACGCTTCTCTGCCCGCGGCTGCCTGGGTTGAATGGTCGTCTCTTGGAGGCATCCGGTGCCTTATAGGGTCCCTGTAAGCTCTCCTGAAGATCTTTGAGTGGGTTCTTGGGGCCCTCTTGGGGCTGCTCTTGGGCAGCAGTGGTGGTCTGGGAGGTCTCTTGGGGCCATCTTGGAGGCCGTCCTGACAGGGCCACGATCATCATGAGCGGAGTGGCCCTCCCATGGGCCGAACAGGGATGCTCCAACGCCTTGCGTCTCTCCCCCCTCCAGGTCCAGGGGGGGAGCGGTAACGCCCTCTCCGAAGGGGAAGGACGTCGAACAGAGCGGGCCACCTAAACCTAAACCACTGACGCCCACAAAGCTGGTGGGATTCTTGGTTCTCCCAAGGATGCTCCGCGAGAATGAGACGAGGGTGAAAGTGGTGATCATGGAGAACGTGCCAGGCATCAGCATGAAGGGCAAACCAGATGATGATGGGGACTTCCAGCAGGCGGCCAAGAGAGTGAAGGTAGCCTCACGTGGGGCCGAGGCCGCACTTGACATCATCATGCGAGGCATCCTTGTCACGCCACAAGGCGATGAGATTCCTGTCGGGCTCGAGCTCATCCCGCACTACACCTGGGGAGTGTACAGCGTCCAAGCAAATGTGTGGGGCCTCCCGCACAGGCGTCGACGGATTTACATCGTGGGGATCCACAAAGAAATCGGAGGGGACGCAGAGATCGAGGCCATCGGCAAGTCGATCGACAAGTTGAACCAGCTCCCGAAGATCAAAAATGACATCACCCAGTTCATGCTTCGGGAGGACATCGCCAAAAAGTACGCCGATGATGGTTGGGGGTCGACTGTGACAAGGCCGCAGCCGATGACAGAGGCAGGCCTCAAAACATGCGACGACTACCGGGCCAGGAAGTCGTTCCCAGCTCGTGATCATATGCATGGGCAGCCCTACAGCAAGAAGCACTTGAACAGCTGCCAGCGCCAGGCGCTCGGGCCCAGGAGGTGCGAGCTCTTGGACTTGGCCTACTTGGACCAATACCAGAAGTTCGGAGCTCTCCAGGAGAACACCATCGTTGACCTCAGCCAGAACCCTGGGCGCGAGATGTGGCGTTCCGACGGTTCTATCGGGACCCCGACGACTCGTTCAGAGCTCTTCTGCATGTCTCGGAAGCGGCACCTGGTGGCCCCGGAGCTGTTCCAGACGATGGGGTGGCCTGAGGAGCATCTCAACTTGGGGCAGCTGCCGAAGACGGTCAGGAGCAAGTGGATGTCCCTAGTGGGCAACATGATGGCGTTGCCGTGCGTTGCCTCCGTCCTTGGGTCGGTCCTGGCCAACGTAAAGCTCGGGCCTCTGAAGAAGGATTCCGTCGAGGTGGACCAGGTGGACCCAGGGCCCGAGAGCGCCTCCCAAGACTCGTGGGTCACTCCGAGCTACCCAGTCGATTATCGCCCAGCAGACGAGTGATTCGGATCTCTCAGTCCAGATTGGGAGAGAGTGAGTGGCCCGATTCGCTTAAGTCAGATAGTCAGATCTGACGTCGCCTCGAGTTGATGTTTGGAGCGTCCCCACAGTCGGCCATCGATGAAAACGTGACAAACCACGGCAAACATTGAGCAAGCGAGCCAGCTACTAAGATGAGGATGAGTAGGAGGAGGAAGTGAAGGGGGAGGAGGGGGAGGAATGCGAATGGGAGTCAGCTACTAGGAGAAAGATAGGGAGGAAGGAGGAGGAGAAGGAGGAGGAGGAGGAGGATGAGGAGTGAGAGGAAGGAGGAGGAGGGAGACGACGACGGCGTGAAGGAGGCGGAGGAGGAGGAGGAGGAGGACGACGACGACGACGACGAGGGCGACAAGGAGGGCAGGTCGTCGCTGCCCCTCTCCACTGCCTGCTCCCCCCTACACCTCCTGGAACTTCGACTGGGAGGGCCTGACGTGCTGTGGCGAGTGACCCTGTGCGCCTAGCACTACGCTTCCGAATCGGGCTGCCGCCAGACGAGGCGGTTGAACTCTCGCCTGAGACGTCCTCCGTGGTTTCATTCCGAATCGAGTTCTCGCCTGAGAAGTCCTGGGGGCTAAATACAATACAACTGAAGTTTGAAAAAAGTCACATTATTGGGAGCTCAGAACCCCTGGTGCACAGGAACCCCTCAATTTGTCTTCGCATGGGTTATCCTCTGCCTGCCCCCTTACTCCTCCTCTCATGTCAGAATACCCCTGGTACCCCTTGCCCTGAACTCTCCCCCTCCCGCTCCACTGCTCATCTCCCTCACCCAAATCTCCTCCTCCCCCTTTTTTGTAACAAGAGCCTTTAGGCTCTGAAGGAACCACTTTCAGGCGTGGCCCACCGGCCCATCGGACTTTCGGAGCATCGGAGCTCCTCGTGGCTTGGTCTTCTGGCTTCCCCGGCAGAGCAGAGCCATGGACCTAGCTGAACTGGGAGCTTGTGGAAGCGATGCAGAAGGTGATCAGCAGCAGAGTGATTGTGAGGAGCCGAGCGCTGGCGAGCTGTCGGACACCGACATGGATCCGCCCGCTGAGTGCGACGGGTGCGGCATCAACAGCGACAGCATGTGCCCGATCTCCGAGATCAAAGGGACCCCCCTGCAAGTCCCCTGGGCACGACTGAAACGTAAGGTCATCAAAAAGATCAAGAACGGGAAGGTCATTAAGAAGTCTAAGCAGATTGCATCGGGGAAATGGTGTCGTAACTGCTTCAACTTCTGGAGGAGCAACTACACGCACGTGATGAAGAACTTAGAAGACTTTGACGAAAAAGTGAAACACGCTAAGGGTGGAAAAAAAAAATGGGACACTGCTCGGCAGAACTGGATCAGGAAGAAGGCCGGTGGGCAGGCTCGCATCCGCGGGAACAAGCCCAGGGCGTCTGTCAAAAGGTATGAGAAACACGAGCTGGCCCTGAAGGACCCCGCCGCGAAGTTCTACACTGAGAAGGCCTACATCAAACATTTCGGGGATCCCAAAGTCAATAAGGCCAAGCCGTTCAGATTCAAAAACAAAGCAGGGAAACTCTTGGTTGGCTACGTCGTCAGAGAAGGGGAGGAGGGCGTCTACACCTTGGAGGGGTCCTCGGCGATTGGCGTCATGAACTCTGGTGAGCTACTGGCTGCTGAAGACAACCTGTATGAGGATCACGCTGACGAGGTTGCCCAGGCAGCTCAGGCTGGGGGAGAAGTTAAGCTCAGGGCTGGGGGGGGGAAATTCAGCTCAGGGACTCAGCTCAGGGACTAGGGTAGCCCGGTAGCCCTGGACCTCCTGGGAGCGTTGGCAGTTGCACGATCGAGGCCTACGCAGGCCTGGACTAGCCGAGTCCATCAAGCTACCCAAGGTACAGGCAACGGTGGTCCAGGGGCCCAAGCCAAAAGGATTTCAAAATTTCGGATTCCTCTGACCCCTACGCCTACACAGTGTAGGGGTCAGAGGAATCCGAAATTTTGTCCGAGTTTTAGGGGTGGTGGTGGGCAGCCAAGGCGGAAGAGTTCGTCGCGAACGGCTTCGTGGCGCAGTCTGCTGAGGATATCCATGAGAACCAGCGCCTTCACAGGCTGAGGAGCGACGCAGCGGCGACGGCTGCAGTTCCAGAGGATGACCAGAGCGCAATTTCGGAGTCTGAACCCCGCGACCACAGCGACGAGCAGAACGGCATGAGCGTTTCAAACAAGGACAGCGACGACATGTCGGACGACGACGGCGTTGGCGAGCACATGCAGGGCAGGAAGAGGAAGGCCGTTACGCAGAAGACTAGCGGCAAAGCCAAAGCGAAGTTCTTAGCCTCTGGTCTTGTTACCCCGAACAGAGGTACCTCATCCTCGGTCCCCCCATCGCCTGCACCGACGGTTGGAGCTTCTACTGGCGGCACCGGCGGTACTTCCAGCAAACTGACGATGAATGCCGACTCTCGCAAGCACGGGCATCTGATCATAAAGCAGCTCAAGGAGGCGATCGAGGGATTCAACAAGGGCAATTGGGGGAATCTCCAGCCGAGGCAGCTGCAGAGCCACGTCAAGGATCTGGCGAAGCACAACGTGGCGGCAGACAAGTTTCTCAAGGCTCTTGGCAGGTTGGAACTGCCTGCCGAACTTTCGGAATTGACAACCCTGAACGACGGCCTCAAGTGCGTGCTGCAGTTCAACAAAAGCTGGAACCAAGTTTCGAAGGGTGCAGCAGATGCGGCCCTGTCTCAAGCGAAGCAGCTGTCCAGAGCGACTGGGAAGCCGGTGCCGACCCACATCATGAAAGTCGTGCTCAAGAAGGTCACCATGGATTGCGATTCCTGGGAGGGACAGCTCAGAACCCTCGAGGCTGACAACCCGGATGGCGCCCAGATGGTTGCTGCAGACGATCGTGCGGTCGTAGTTCAGGGTGTACTGCTGCAGGCGAGCATTCTCCTCCTTCTCCCTCCACCTGCCCCCTCCTCCTGCCCACCCTCCTTCCTCACCTTTTCCTCCTCCTCCTCCTCCTCCTCCTCCTCCTGACTCCTCCCCCTTTTCCTCTGATTTCCACTGTCTTCTCCTGTGCTTCCCCTCCTTCTCTCTCCGTGGTGCTTTTCCTGCTCCCTACTCCTCCCCCTCCCTGGGCCACTCCTCTTCTCCCTCGTCGTCGTCCCTCTCCTCCTCCTCCTCCTCTTCCTCCTCCTCTTCCTATCCCTCCTCCTCCTCCTCCTCCTCCTCCTCTTTTTCCTCTTCCTCCTCCTCCCTCTTCTTCCTCCTCCTCCTCCTCGTTGTCCTCCTCGACCTCCTGCTCATCCATCATTTCTCCTTCTCTTCTGGCCCCGAGGTGCTCGGGGCGATGCTGGACAAAATCAAATTGACTTCGGACACGGACAGAGCCGTTGAGGACTTCTTCAAAAACATCTCGGTCATCGAGGCCATGACTCTGCCCAAGGCAATCGTTGACGACGCCAAGGCCATTGGTGTTTCTCAGAAGCCGTCTGCATCGACAGCCGATGTACAGTGGGCAGCGACGCGTCTAACTTCGAAGAAGGACCAGTCAGTGTTCGTGGCCATGATCAAGAGAAAGAAGCTCGACGCATGGGACACATGCATTGCAAAGCTGACTCAGAGCTTGCGAGACAGGCAGAAGATGGAGTCCAAGCAGCAGTCCGTACACGACATCGTCAAGACGATCGATTCTACGTTGTCGGCCGTCACCCCCGGTGCAGATGCCGCTGGCATTGCCAACTTGGTCGAGAAATTCGTGGCCATCGCCAAGCGCTTCGTCGAGATCAAGTGGGACGAGGTGGGCCTCGAGCGGGCCGAGGTGTTCGACCCGCTGCGCCAGCTCTACGCCAAGCTCACCTACGAGATCCTAGCTAAGGTTCGGGTGCCCCACACCCTCCTCCTACTCAGCTTCTCGTCCTCCTCCTCTTCAGGTTCCGCCAGACTTCTTCGATGAGGGCAAGGCGCCAGTCGATCAGAAGATGAAATGGGTGACCGAGACTGGCGAGAAGCTTTACGATTACGGTGTGAAAGTGAACGACTCGATCAGGCCCGGACCGCAATTGCCTACAATCGTATTCAAGGAGATTTTGATGATGGCGACCGTGCCGAAAGCAATCGTCAAGCGCTGCTTCGTGGGGGACTCGGAGATCAGCGTCGAGCTTCTGACGGTGGTGTGCCTCAAGATGGGCCCAAAGGATCTCATGAACTTGACCAAGCACTTGAACCTGATTGAGCTGCCGATGCCTGGCGATTGGCAGGCGGTCGCCTCGTGCATGGAGTGGCCTGCCGATCATGTGTCAGACATCAATGACATCATCGTGAAGTTAATGAAGATGGGCGATTGTCTACCTGAAGCAATGCTCATTGCCGTCAAGGGCTTCTTGGACATGAAGGGTGATATCACTAAGTTCGAGGAGTCGAGCGTGTTGTCCGAGTCAGACTTGAAGTACCTCGCTCTCGATGCCAGTGGTTGCCTCGTGGACAAGCACGGGATCAAGGGTCGCCTGATGGCAAAAAGCATCGACGCTATCATCGCCAATATGGACACTCACGTTGGTATCGCGAACGCGTACCAGACGCTCTGCAACAAGGCTCTGAAAACTGAGGAATTTCAGAACGCCACTGAGATCACGAACATGCTTCATTCGGGCGTGACGCTGAAGATGGCCATCATCCCGTTGATTCAGAGCATGATCACGCTCGATGCCGAGGTCCAGAACGACGACAAGATGTTCGAGGCGTTCGGCAAGTTCAGGCTCAAAAAATCAGAGGCGCTGAACTTCTTCGACCATGAGGCGAACGCGGAGCTGGTCAAGGATTACGCCTCGGCGGTCGACAACGTTCGGCAGGTCCTGCAGATGTACGCGGACGCGAAGGAGAAGCTCTTGCGCTCATCCTTGGAGAAGGCCGTGAAAAGCATGGTGGAAGCAACGAAGGACGTCGAGGCCAACTTGGTCCCGACCGCAACTGCGCTCAAGAAGTTCGACTTGGAGGAGATGCAGAAGGTGATCGACCATCCTGGTCGCCCGGTGCTGATTCAAGCGGTGAAGGCCGCGAACATCAGCTTCTCCGAGTGGAAGGCCAGGAGCGGTTTCGTCATGGGGACGATCGACCTGACGGACTTGGAGGGCCAGGTGGAGATGGCGCTGAAGCTCCGGGACAAAGCTCGGACGACGGTTGCCATTCGCTCAGCCTTGCTGATTCTGAGCCAGAAGGACCAGCAGACTCCGACGATGATCGAGGACTTCTTCAAGAACCTCAGGGCGGCCAAGAGCTCCATTCCCGCGAAGCTTCGGAAGGAGCTGGAGAAGTTGGCTCCCACCGCCACCAGCGCTCCAGAGGAGGTGGGGGAAGAGGCTCCTGGCGAGCCCGCTGCTGCGGCCGAAGAGGAGGAGGGTGAGTCCTAGGTTCCTGGGTTTCAGGCTTCGGGCTTCGCATTTTTTCGCCCTGAGTTGTCTTAGGCGGTAGAAGCTGGGACGCCCAGCTCGACAGGAGGACGAGGAAGAGGAAGAGGAGGAGGAGGAGGAAGAGGTCGAGGGGACGAAGGATGAGGAATTGAACTAACGAAGCGTCTTAGGCGAGATCGCGAAGCCCGACCGGCGAAACGCCTGCTCGTAAGCGGCTGACGGCGTGGAAGGGCTACGCTATGTAGCGAGGCCAGGCGGAGTTGCTGTTACAGGTGCTGTGCGTTTCATTCAGTACTTTTGAAGCCGCTGCAGCGGCCAACTTTTCCCGCAGGAGGAGGTGTACCGTACACCTCCTCCTCTGCTGTCATCCTCCTCCTCCTCCCCTCCTCCCCTCTGCCCCCCTTCCCTCCTCCTCCTCCTCCTCCTCCCCTCTGCCCCTCTTACCACTCCCTGCTCCTGCTCCTGCTCCTGCTCCTGTTCCTCCGCCTCCTCCTCCCCCTCCTCCTCCCTCTTTAATGTCAACCCGTTCGCTCATGTTCCTCCTCCTGTTCCTCCTCCTCCTCCTCCTTCTTCTCTCTCTCTCTCTCTCTCCTCCTCCTCCACCGCCTCCTCCTCCTCCTCCTACTCCACCGTCTCATCCTCCTCCTCCTCCTCCGCCCCCTCCTCCTCTCTCTCCTCCTGCCTGTTCGCTTCGCTTTGTCTACTCTCATCTTCCCTTGTTCCCGCTCACGCCGACCCTCTGTCTGTGCGACGGGCCTGGAGCGCCGACTCGTGCAACTCGGCCTTCCTGGGTCCATGCCTTTTCAAATCCCAAATCCCCTCCACCTCGCGGCAGTCCTGATTTCTGGCCCCGATCGGGAGGGGGGGAAGAAGAGAACCCAAGAGGCACAATAGATACAGAGAGAGGCAAAATACAGAGAGAGAGAGAGAGAGAGAGAGTGAGAGAGAGAGGAGGAAAAGAGAGAGAGAGAGATAGAGAGAGATAGAGAGAAGACTGCCGCCGCTGAAGGCGACCCCGCTGCTGCCGCTCACTTGGCCCCGCTGTCGCCACTGGAGGACGTGTAGGACGACGACGAGGAGGAGCAGGAGGGGGAGAAGGACGAGGATACAGGGGAGGAGGAGGAGGAGGAGGAGGAGAAGGAGGAGGAGGAGGGAGGAGGAGGAGGAGGAGGAGGAGCAAGAGGATGATGAGGAGGAGGAGGAGGGAGAAGGAGGATCTGCGATTCATTCATGCACTACTACCGTTGCTGTGCGCATTCGCCAACTCCTTCCTCTCCCCTTATGGTATCCTCCTGCGTCACCCTCAGGGCCGGGCCGTTGATACTTGCAGTGCGCTTTGGCTATCATTGATTTGCATGCTTTTTGACTGGTTTTTGCCCAGCTTATTACCCACCTCAGAACCCACCAATTCGGACCAAACAGAAACCTTAGGAGAAATGCCTTCCTAATACATGCTCCGCGTGCGGATCAAGTACTAAAAATGCAGGGACTTAGTATCAAAAACAACGATGAGTTCATGCATAACTTTGTGCATGAATGAATCAGGTATTAAAAATCCCATATCTTCAAAAATCCGATGTATGAAAAACTGCCCTGTTGCCCATCGCATCTGGCGACACTCGACGAGCCAGCTCGGCCCTGGCGGGCCGCCGCTCCCGTCGGGGAGCGAGGCGGGGCCCCCGCTCGCTCCCGCTGCCCCTGGGGGGAGCAGCCTCCGCGCCGGGGCCGCAGGCGGTACTGGCATTAGGTCGGGCACGTCCCCCCAGAGGCGGATTTTGGAGGAAGAACGCAGGGCAATGTTTGATACATAGGATCTTTTAAAACATGTGATGTTTAATACATGACGAACGTATGCATAAACATTGTGCATGAACTCATCGTTGCGTGTAGTACTAAATCCATGCATTTTGAACACATGATCCGCACGCGGAGCATGTATTATAAACGGCACTGTACGGAATAGTCGAAACATACTCCAACATGGTCCAAAGTAGTCAGGGAATTCGTCCCCGGACTACGTTTCACCATTTTTGGACCTTCCTCTCGTCGAGGGACAGACCCGACTTGACACTGGTGCGCTCTGGGAGCGTGTGCCCCTTGCTGCCGTACTGGCACCTGGCTTCGGCCAGGGCCCGCCTCTCCACCCCTGCTTCCCAGCGGGTCCCCAGGGACCGCCGCCGCGGAGGTGCTGGTCACAAGGGCTCCCAACATCGCGCTTCGCGCTGCGCGGAGTGCAAATATAGGGAACCGGACTCTATACACCGACGCCTTTGTCTGGCCTCGCACTGAATCTCGCACAGGAAAGCGGATCCTGGTGTAGACGGGACCCTGGTGTATACATTCTTCGTTGTTCCCCCAGGAAAACGGGGGAACAAGTGTACACCACACCGTCCCGACGTCGTCCCCGACCCTCAAAAAGTCCTAGGATTGTAGAACCGCCCGCCACTGGTAATGTATATGCTCCAGTTTCCGAGAATAGCTCCGCGCTCTCGCGCCGCCCCCCCAAAGGGAGAAAAGGGGGACGAGGAGGAGGGGGAGGAGGAACGAGCGCCGCGAAGCGCGAATCACCTCGCGCCCTCGTGGGAGCCCCCGTGGCCACGGGGCCGAAGATGGCACGGGGCGCGCGTCGCTCCTCGGGAGGGCCCCTCACCCTTGCCATCGCTCGGACGCCCACTTCCTGTGCGCTCTTCGGTCTCGCGCGTGTGTTTCGTTGCTCGATGGTCCAGGATGGCCCTCGATGCTTCCCGCCGAGAGAAGCTGCACACGTCCGAGCGATGTCAGTCTGGGAGGAGGAGGAGGAGGGGGAGGAGGCGGAGGAGGCGGAGGAGGCGGAGGAGGCGGAGGAGGCGGAGGAGGAGGAGGAGGAGGAGGCGGAGGAGGCGGAGGAGGAGGATGTGCAGGGCGGTGACCGCTGGGTCGGCGCTCGCTTCCGGAGGAGGGGGAGGAGGTGGAGGGGGCGGGAGGGGGGCGGGGGGCAGGAGAGCCCAGAATCGAATCGATAAGTCGGATCGGCGATCGAAATGAATCGGATCGGCGGAAATCGGCAGCCGAGTCGGGAAACGTCGAATCGGCAGACATCGGCAGGCTAGTAGGCCTCCAATAAGAGATCGGAGCCCAAGTCGGAATCTCAAGTCGAATCGAATCGGAATCGGAAGCCATCGAAATCGAATCGAATCGAATCGGAGGAATCGAAACGAGCCCTGGGGGGGAGCGCAGAGGGAGGGGCATGACTCAGAGGAGTACGCGCGGATCCGAGTGCGAGCGGCCTTGGTATTCGTGAGCACGAGCAGAGGCGAGTCTGAGGCGAGTGAGGGTGGGGGATACGCGTCGCACAAGTAGTAAGATCCCATGTGCTTATAGCATGGGGAAAACTGAATTGCTGCGCGCGCACGAAATTGAGAAACCATGCGACCATTGAACTGCGTTGCACTCCGTCATTCGAAACTATGCTGGCCACACGTGCGCGAACATGTTGCGACCATCAATCTAACACGTGCGCGCACATGTTTCAAGCATCACGTAGCCACCAACGCTGTCAGCCCCAAAAACATTCAAAATCTGGTGGACGCTCGATCCACCTCGATCCTCGATTTCCAAGAGGGGGTGGTGAACCCCCCTGTCGGACACACGCTAATATGGATTAGGGATCCATGGATTTCGCGTTGGCGCCAGATCCATGAATCGGGGCATGTGCCCCCGAAACATGATGCCAATGCCGCCTGATTTGGCGACGGAGCCCGCCGATTCTGTACGGAAGCTGGGCCCGGCGCTAATCCACGTGCCTTAATCCAAGTTTGAGCTTCCTCGACTGAGGCCGCACACGGCGACAACAAAACCGAAAACCGAAAACCGACCGAACGGACAACGAAACCGAAACCGACCGAAACCGACCGAAACCGATAGGCCGCAAGCAACATAGAAAGACGCAACAACGCCGACCGAGCACAACCGACTGCGACGCAACCGAACCGACCGAACCGTTAACGCCCTCGTCGACTCTGGCACTGCCCGACAAAGCTCGACCTCAACAGTGTTTTCCGTCCTCGTTTAATAGTGGTCCCCCTTGTTTTGTCTTCGCTCCGCTTTTGCCGCAAAACGAAACCGAAACGAAAACGGCCAACGAGATCGGCCAAACACCGCTTAGTGTTGTCCGTCCTGGCTTTGTATTCGTCCCCCCTCGCGTCGTCTGCCAGATCGTCTGCGACCTGCTGCCCGGGGCGCCACTGCGGAGCGGAAACCCGCCCCCAGGGAGCCTGCGCCAAGTGCGCAGCAAGGAACCCCTCCTCCACTCTAGCGTCCTTCAGCTGGAGGCAGGCGGCTCCGTGCGCTGGCGGCGCGGCGGGGCGGGGCGGGGGGGGGGGATCGAAGGCTCGGTTCGGAACTGGGCAGAGGGGGGGGGGAGGGGAAGGGCAGGGGGCGCTTGGGCGTTGCTTCGTGGTGGGTCGATCAGCTGGGGCGCGAAGACACGTGAACCTCTCATGCCCCATTTTGGGCCCGAGAGGAAGGGCTCCTGCGGGAGGTGCACCTTTTCATCGCTCCCGCCCGCTCTACGCTCCCCCCCATGTGACGCAAGGCCCGATCCACTCGGCCCGCTGCCGCCGTCGGTGGCGATCGGCCGCCGGTGTAAGACATGGAGCGAAGGAGGGAAGCGCGTGAGTATGTGTGTGTGTTTCTGTGTGAGCGCGTATGTTTACCCATTTAACCTTGGTGCGTGGAGAGCCCTATGTGCATGCCTAGAAGACGCTCTCTTATCGGAAGGAGCCTCTCGCCCGAGACCTCCTCGCACTTCGTGGCCCGACGTAGAGACCCGCGCAGAAGCGGGCGGACGCGAGACGGCTCCTTCTCACAATGGGGCTCTCGCTGGACACCTCGTTTGACCTTATGACCCTGGCCTGCCGCTGCCGTCATCATTGAGGAGGGACCGGCCGTCCCGGCATTCCTATAGGCCCACCACGAAAGGTTCTCAGAACCAAAAAACGTTCCAAGATAGCCGGAGCGCCGTATCCCCGAAAACACGGTTTTTAGACCCACTGCGGTTTCCAAGGTCGGTTGCGTGCCCGTCCAGTGCGGGCTGGCATGGCATGTCAAAACATGCCTCGTCCTCCTCCTCCTCTTCAAAAATTACTCAATATGAATACTACTCTCCCTCTTCCCCTGGTGACGTGCTGGGAGTGTTCGCCCCCCCCCCCGCGTCCTGCTTTTTTGCACACAGGATTCCCGGGAATTGGGTTTTCGCCTGCATTTGTTTTCCAAATGCTGCTCTCGCTGGGGCGCCGGCCTCATTTTCGGGCCCCGCTCGTTCCGAATCGTGCTCCCGCTGCAGCGTGGGTCTCATTTTCGGATCGGTGTTTTGCCTCCGTCGTTCAGGATGGCGTTCTCGCCCCAGCGGGGTCCTCTTTCTTGCGCGCCCATCCGCCCACCACCGCCGCACCGCGCCCCGCCCCGCCCACCGCCACTTCCACCCACCAACGCACGCACGCACGCACGCGCACCGCCACCACCACCCCACTACCCCACCCACCACCACCACGCTACACCGCGTCACACCACATCACACACGCGCGCACACAGACACACACGCACGCACGCACGCACGCACGCACGCACACACACACACACACACGCACACACACACACACACATACACGCACGCACACACACACACAGACACACACACGCACACACACCACCACCACCACCGCCACCACCACCAACGCCATCACGCACGCACGCACCTGGCCCACCACCAAACACCAAGACGCCACACCACGTCACACCACAGCACACGCGCACACACGCACACACACACACCACCACCACCACCACCACCACCACCACCACCACGACCACCACCACAACCACAACCACAACCACGCACACACGCACGCACGCACGCGCACCACCACCCACTACGCACGCGCGCGCGGAGCCACAGGTCCGCTACGACACGCGTCCGCGGATAGAGAAAATCAGCGCCATGGTAAGGGATGGGAGGGAGGGGTAGGACGTCAGATATGACGCGAGCGCACATAGCTTGTCCTCCTCCACCTCCTCTTCATCCCGAACGGCATCTCGGAGCCCAGAGTTGCGAGGATGTCTCCAGCGTAACGGGCTGGACCACCTCGCGCGCGACATTTCGGACCCCAGAGACGCGACGATGTCTCGGGCGAAACGTGCTGCGAAGAAGTCTCAGGCGAAACGGGCCGGACCACCTCGAGCGCGGCGTCTCAGAGCTGCGGGTGCCTCCTGGGGCCTCCTGGGACCTCCTGGTGACCTCCTGGGGCTTCCTCCTGGGCCTCCTGTGGCCTCCTGGACCCCACCTGGGGCCTCCTGAAGCCTCTTGGGGCTCCCAGGGGGGGATATCTAACATGTGGCCGTCGGGGCCCCCCCAAATGGCCACAAGAAGGAAAAATCAACGAATCGACACCGGATTTGTATTAACTTGACACGTTCTGATAGGGGGCCTCCTGGGGCCTCCTGGGAGCCTCCTGGGAGTCTCCTGCGGACCCCTGGGGCCTGTCCTGGGCGTCCTGCGGCCTCCTGGAGCTCTCTGGGGCTCCCAGGGGGGATATGTAACATGTGATCTTCTGGGCCCCCAGGCTGGACCACCTCTTGCCCAGCATCTGAGAGCTCAGAGTTGCGAGAATGTCTTGTGCGTTGGCTGGACCACCTTGCGCAGGGCATCTCAAAGCTCAGAGTTGCGAGGATGCCTCAGGCGAGATGGGCCAGACCACCTCGCGCAGGGCATCTCGGAGCCCAGAGATGCGAGGATGTCTCCAGCGTAACGGGCTGGACCAACTTGCGCGAAACGGGCCTGGGGCTTACTGAAGCCTCTTGGGGCTCCCAGGGGGGATATCTAACCTGTGGCCGCTTGGGCCCCTCAAAATAAGGGGCCACAAGTGCAGGAAAAATCAACGAATCGACACCGGATGTGTATTGACTTGCCACGTTCTGATAGGGGGCCTCCTGGGGCCTCCTGGGAGCCTCCTGGGAATCTCCTGCGGACCCCTGGGGCCTGTCCTGGGCGTCTTGCGGCCTCCTGGAGCTCTCTGGGGACTCCTGGGGCTCCCAGGGTCCCAAGGAGGATATGTGACATGTGGTCTTCTGGGCCCCCAGGCTGGACCACCTCTTGCGCGGCATCTGGGAGCTCAGAGTTGCGAGAATGTCTTGTGCGAAACAGGCTGGACCAGCTGGCGCACGGCATCTCAGAGCTCAGAGTTGCGAGAATGTCTTGTGCGAAACGGGCCGGACCACCTCGCGCAGGGCATCTCAGAGCTCAGAAATTAGAGGATGTCTCAGGCGGGCTCCCAGGGTCCCAGGGAGGATATGTAACATGTGGTCTTCTGGGCCCCCAGGCTGGACCACCTCTTGCGCGGCACCTGGGAGCTCAGAGTTGTGAGAATGTCTTGTGCGATACAAGCCGGACCACCTTGCGCACGGCATCGCAGAGCTCAGAGTTGCGAGTATGTCTCAGGCGAGACGGGCTGGACCACCTCGCGCAAGGCATCTCAGAGTTCAGAAGTTCGAGGATGTCTCAGGCGAAACGGCCCGGACCATCTCTCAAGCGGCATCTCAGAGCTCAGAGTTGCGAGGATGTCTCAGGCGCAACGGCCTGGACCACCTCTCGCAAGGCATCTCAGAGCTCAGAGTTCCGAGGATGTCTCAGGCGCAACGGCCCGGACCACCTCTCGCACGGCACCTCGGGGCTCAGAGTTTCGAGGATGTCTCAAGCGAAACGGCCCGGACCACCTCTCGCGCGGCGTCCCGGAGCGCAACTATTCGAGGATGTCTCAAGCGAAACGGCCAATCCCAGCCAACTCAGAAACGAGAGTTGTGAGGATGTCTCAAGCGAAACGGCCCGGACCATAAAATTGTTGTGAGGATGTCTCTGCTCCGACTTCCCTCGGCCGGAGTTAGCGTCTATCACAACAGCACCCCGTTCAGCAAGCTGTTTGGGGAAATAACGAAGACAATGTTCTTAGAGCATAAGCTCGATGCGTTGAAACAATACAGTCCCAGACAGAAATGTTCTAAGAACATTTCGTGGAAACCACAGAAAAGGTTCTTCGAACATCGTCTGGTAGGTTTATAGGCATGCCAGGACGCTTCGCCACTGCTTGACATCACTCGCTAGAAGGATGCGAGGCAGTTCCGTTCCAAAACGGGGCTCTCGCTTGACTGTCAGGCCTACGGGGTGCTCGGTTTCCAAGGGGGCGCTTCCTTCAGTGAAGAGACAGCCCTTGAGACGCATGGGGAGGGGACTCGAGACGAGAGGGGATTGCAGCTTCGTTGATGCATCCTTTAGAGGCCAAACAATCCACCCCCATGATTCGCCGGCCCAACGGGCCAGAGGCGTGCTAAGATCCCCGGTAACTGGTTAACAATTCTCTAGTTCGCGCGCGCGGGGCGGCCCCTGGGGGTCCCCAGACGAAAAGTACCCCGGGCGATCCCCGACCGATCCCCGGGAGACTCCCCCAGAGCGCTCCAGGAGCGCTCCATGAGCGCACCAACAGGGCTCCGAGACGTCCCCGAGAGCCCCAAGAAAGGCCAAGAGGCCCCCAAGAGGCCCCCAAGATGGTACACGAGGGGTCCGACATGCCACAAGATCGCTCCAAGACGCCCAAGATAGCCCCCAGACGCCCCAAGAGGCCTCCAAGAGCACTCCCAAGAGGGCCCCCGGAGGCAAAATTCATTGTTTTTCCTTAGGTTTTTGAGAGATTTTGGAGCTTCCACCTTTTCGGCTTCCCGACGCCCCAAGACGGCCCAAGAGGCCCCCAAGATCGCCCCAAGAGGGCCCAAGAGGCCCCCAAGAGGGCCCCAAGATGGCCCAAGAGGGCTCGAAGACGGCCCAAGAAGCCTCCAAGACGGTCCAAGAGGGCCCCAAGAACGCCCCCAAAGGGGCCCCAGAGAGGGAACACGAAACAACATTTCGAGCCCTCGGCCCTAAGAAGCCCCTACGAGGCCCCAAGAGGCCCCTAAGAGGCCCCAAGAGGCCCCCACGAGGTCCTCAGGAGGCCCCCAAGAGTCCCCCAAGCGGCCCCAGGAGGCCCCCCAAATGCCCCCCCGAGCGCCCCAGGAGTCCCCCAAGCGGCCCCAGGAACCCTCAAAGCGCCGCATTGACATCAGGCCCTCGGGCAAACGGCAGACATGAGACTGTATGGGCCGGCGGAATGAGCGCAGCGATTAAAAAACCACACCGACACGCGAAGTCGTTTAGCAGACGCGACCAAAGAAGAGATCGAACAGGGCAGAACTGTTTTATAAACGCCCGGGGCCGTTTAGTAAACGGCCGGTCTGGGTGTTTTTTCCTCCCTTGATCCTTGGGTTAAGGCCACTCCCCCGGGACTGGTCTTTTATCCCGAGCCACTTCTTGACAGCCCCGAGGCCTGGTAAGCTCCCCCAGATGGGCCTAAATGAACAGAAGCATTCCGTCATGTTTCTGTCCTGTGTCCAATCCTCGATGCCTCGATCCTCACTCCTGAGGAGTCTACAAAAAGCCCGGAGCCGAAATTGCGAATTCTCCTGAGGTATCTGGCGTACCCCCTGGGCCCCGTCGCGGCTTGTCGCGTGACTATTTTCGGATCCATAAAGCCCAGAGATGGGCCCCGAGGGCTCCAAGAGGCTCCCGAGACGGCCCCGAGTCGAAGAACGATCGGTCCAAGACGCCAAAGATTGCCCTTAGACGGCCCAGGAGGCCTCTCGAGTTGAACCCAAGAGGCAAAACTCATTGATTCCCTTAAGGTTATTGGCGACTTTTGGCGTTCTCGCCTGTTCGGCTTTCCTACTCTCCACGACTGCCCACAAGGCCCCCAATATCGGCCCAAGACTGCTCCAGAGGCCCCCAAGAGGGCCCCAAGACGGCCCAAGGGGGCCCCAAGACGGCCCAAGAGGCGCTCAAGACGGCCCCAGGAGGGCCCAAAGGCGGCCCCAACAGGAGGCCCAGATGGGGAACACGAACAAACATTTCGAGCTCTCGGCCCCAGGAGGCACCAAGAGGCCCCCAAGAGGCCCCAAGAAGCCCCTCTTGGGCTCCCAAGAGGCCCCCAAACTGCTCCCAAGAGGCCCCCGAGAGCGCTCCAAAGAGACCCGAAGAAGCATCTCTGAGAACTCTGACCCACAACGCAGGCACGGTGGCGGAATGTGCCGAAGGCCATGAGATCCGCCGCCCCCTGCTTGCAGGGGTGCACGGCGTGCTGGACGAGCTGTTAGGTTTTGGTTTTGGTTCTTTTTCCAAAAGAACTCCCCAGTGGGCTCCGGCAGAACCCGCCACCGTGCGCAAAAACGGCCGTTTCGCTCGGGACATCCTCAAAAAATCGCGAAGATGGCCCAAGATGGCCTCCAAGTCCGCCCGAGATGGTCCAAGACGGCCTCCAAAACGGCCCAAGAGAGTCCAAGACGGCCCAAGACGGCCCAAGAGGCCCCCCAGAGGCCTCCCAGACGGCCCAAGAGGCCTCCAAGAGGTCCTCCAGGAGAGTCCGAAGAGGGCAAAATCATTGATTTTCCATTGGTTTTTGAAGGATTTTGGCATTTGCGCCTTTTCGGCTCTCCGACGGCTCAAGACGGCCCAAGAAGCCCCCAAGATCGCCCAAGAGGCCCCCAAGAGAGCCCCCTGATGGCCCAAGTGGCCTCCAAGATGGCCCCTAGAGGGCCCCAAGACGGCCCAAGAGGCCTCCAACACGCCCAAGATGGCCTCCAAGACGCCCAAGATGGCCTCCAAGACGGCCCTGGAGCGCCCCAAGAGGGTCCCCCGTTGGCCCAGAAAGGCCCCCAAAACGGCTCCCGACGGCGTCAGACGTGCCAGGAACCCACCAAGATGGCCGAAGTTGGCTCGAAGCTGGCCCAAAAGGGCCCAAGAGGCCCCCAAGAGGGCCTCCAGGAAGGCCAAAAGATGCCAAAATCACTGATTTTCCAAGGTTTTTGATGGATTTGGGCATTTCCCTTCTTTCGGCCTTCCGACGGCCCGAGACGGCCCAAGAGCCCCCAAAGATCGCCGAAAGATCGCCCAAGAGGCCTCCAAGACGACGACGATGACCATCAAGACGCCCACGTGTTCCCCGAAGGCTTTCCAAACCGATTCGGGGAACACATGGTCCGATGGCTTGGCAGGTCTGGCCTCAACGTTCGGCCACATAGGCGCTTCCACAAAGGCAGGGGGCGGCGGTGATTCGCCGTAGGCGTCTTCGATATGATTGTCCTAAGGTTGCTTCTGCGACCAAGTTGGTGCCCGCTTCTATCAGCAGTTAGGTAATCGACAGTGGCGTCCCAAGGCGGACTCTGTGACCTACTCAATGTCACCATTCCTGACCAATCGATTGTGAGTAGAGTCGAAACAAGGACATCAGAACTTGGGTCAAGATCATGGAACCCTTCGCCGAGAGCCCACGGACCCACCGCGATACCCAAAACGCGGGCCATTCCAGGGTGGAGGGCCAACCATTCCAGGGTGGAGGGCCAACAACGAATAACGTGAGCTTGCCATCGCTCGGACGTCCATTTCCTGTGCATGTTTCGGTTTCGTGCGTGCTTTTTTTTGGCTCGATGGTCCAGGATGGCTCTCGAAGGTCCTCGCCGAGAAAAAATGCACGCGTCCGAGCGATGCCAAGGGAGGGGCGCCCTCCAATACTACAAGGGCTGATCTTGCACCTCATGCCAGCTGTAACCAGACACGGCGAGGGAGCGGGGCACGGCTCCCTGGACCTTCGACGTCGTTTCATTTTTTTTTGTTCCTGGCGACGACCCCCACGGAGGTCGGGACCCTCTCCCCGAGACTAACTTCGGCTACACGCAAGAGTGACCCTGGGTAAGAGTGACCTTTGGTGCGCGGCTTTTTGGGGGCCGCGGGGGGACCAAACCTGGGCGCTCAAGCCGCTGCTCCTGCTTCGCTTTCAGCCACCTGGGGACCCATCCGTGCCCGCACCAAAAGTCACACCGGCGAAAGGCCACTCTTACGTCTATAGCCGATAACTCCTCGTCCCGAGTCGTCTTTTTGGCGGCCCCGGGGCCTGGCGAGGGGCCCTGAGGCCGAGCAGGGCCAGGAGTCCCCCGTCGGGATGCTCCGCGACGCGAGGAGGTCCGCCGGGCCTGCCCCCCCCTCTCGCGGAGCCCTCTCCCGAGCGACCCCCGCTCCTCCGCGGGAGGTCGCCCAGATGGGGTCCAAGCAGCGGTCGGAGGCTCGCGCCCCATACCCGATGCCTCGCGGATGCACCTGCGATGCATCGGCAGAGCTGGCAATGCTTCGGCGACGTCGGCGTGGAGAGCTCGAGCTCCACATCGAGCCGCATCGCCGAGGCCTCGGCGATGCGGCGCGATCCTCCGACCCCAGACATCGGGCGCTCAAATGCTTTCCAGGCGTGGACCCCCAGAGATCTGGAGCATGACCATGTCCCGAGGGCCGGTGTTTCATCCTGAGTCTTTTTTGACGGCCCCGGGGCCCGTCGTGGGCCCCTGGAAGCCGTACATCGCCCACCAAATGAGGCCGCCCCAATGTTTTAGGAGCCTCAGATCTCTGGGACCCCAGCCACTCGGACCCCCTCTGGAAAACCACTCCATCTGATTTTTTTTAACACGGGGTCCCCGGAAGTCCCGACCCTGTCCCCTGGGGCCGGTTTTCCATCCTGAGTCGTGCTTGGAGGGTCCCAGGGCCCCAGGGGCCTAAAACGGTCAAAAACCTCCTCCCGCTGAGATGTCGTCCCCGACGCGAACACGTCTCGGAGTGGGCGGCGTAGGTTTAGGTCGGGCGTGTCCTCCTACCGGCGGACCTTGGAGGACAAACTGGACATGGCCCCAAAGACACCCAAACAGAAACTCAGAAGCAGTCGATTCAAACAAGACGTCCCCAGACTATTTTTTTGTTCCTATTTCTGGATCTACTCCTCCCGTAGAGGGACCTGCCCGACTTGAGCATAGGCCCGCGCCTATGCTCACGGCGGGGGCCCGGCGCGAGGTGCCCGCGGACCGGCGGCAGACCTGCGCGCGGGCAGGCGGGGCGGTGCCTGCCGCCACCGTCTGGGCGTACGCCTGCAGGCCGGCCAGCTCCGAGTGCCACGACTCGCGCTGGGCCTGGGCCTCGCGCGGCGCGCGCGCGGGGAGCCGGGAGGCCGGGACCCCGTCGCGCCGTGGAGAACGACGGCGGGCGCTCTGTCGCTGTGTTCGGCCTCGGGGGGCTCTTGCCGGGCCTCAGGACCGTCAAGGCAGGACTCAGGATGCGGAGCCGGTCCCAGTGTAGGGATCGAAACCTCTGGAGGTCAACGTTACTGCGTCCCCGCCGTCGGCGCTGCTGGCCGCCGCCAGCGCCGGCGCCGGCGCCAGCGCGGGGAGGGGGGGGTTTGGACCTCCCTCCCTGGCCCCTTTGGTCATCGTCGCTGCGTCTCCGCCGTCGGCGCTGCTGGCGGCCGCCAGCGCCGGCGTCGGCACCGGCGCCAGGCGGGGGGGGGCTTTGGACCCCCCTTCCAAGGGGGAGGGGGTTCGGGAGGGGGCGGGGGATTAGGGGGCAGGGGAGTCCCGCTGGTTCTGATCGACGGCGCCAAATGTTGGGGGGGGGGCCCGCCCCCCGGTTCGAAACGCGCCGCCGCATGTTCCCAAGGCAAGCGGCCGTGAAACGCACTCTCTCTGCGATTGGGGGTCGATGCAGTCCCCACTTATGCCTATCCCCCCCCTATCGTTGCCCCCGACTTTTGCCCATCGTCGGCCCCGAGGGTCCTCGACGAGCCCCGGTACGGTCAAGGAACCGCTCATAGGGGGCAACGCCAGCCCTGGGGAAGCTGTCCAGACCTCCAGGGGGCCACGCACCGACAAAGTTGGAGCGCAGGACGTCTGGGCAGCCGCCCCGCACAGCTGACCATCGCTCGGACGTCCCTTGCCTGTGCTTTTGTTCGGTTTCGTGCGTGGCTTCTTCGCCAAATGAGCAAGGATGCTCCTCGATGGTCCTCGCCGGAGGAAACATGCACACGTCCGAGCGATGCCAGAGGACAGCGCGCGAGGAAACTCCCCCCCGGCGCGCGGCAGCTGCGCGGCATCCGGGCATCCGCCCTGTCTGTCGGTCCCCGGGCTCGGCGCCGAGGCGGCCCCGTCGTGGCGAATGCTGCCGATGCCAGGCACGCGGCGGCCGAGGCGGGCTCCGCCGCGCTCGAAGTTCGGGCCGGGGGGGGGGGGCGTCAGTCGGCCGCTGCCGCCGAGCTCCGAAGAAGATACAGGGATAAGCATCAGGTCGGGCGTGTCCTCCCACAGGCGGTTTTAAACAACAAATGCAAGTAGCCCCAAAAAATACTCAAGTAGCCAACACAAATCCAAAAAGTCGTCCCGATCCTATGTATGGACTGTGTTCGAACATCCCTCCTCTGGAGGGACATGCCCGACTTACGCATGACCTTTCGGAGCTCAGCGCGGATTCCTTGGATCGGCCCCCGCTCCCCCTTCCCTGGCGCGCGGAGCGCGCTGGGGGTGGAGCATGCCGGCGCCGCCGGGGAGCGCGCCGCCGTCGCCGCTCCTGGCGCCATCCGCGCGCCACGAGGGGGGCCAGCGCCGATCCAAGGCATCTCTGCGCGGCGCTCCGAGCTCCGTGACGGTACACGCTTCTCGTCGTCGAGAGCCCGGCCGCGGGCCCAGGGTCGGGTGTTGCCAGAAGTGCCCCTGGCCCAAGGTGCCCCCCGGCTTTTCGCTCCATTTTGGAGCCCCCGGGGCCCCCCATGGGCCTCGTGAGGGGTGCCCTGGAGGCCGTCTGGGCCAACCCGAGAATCCGGGGGGGTACCTTGGGCCAGGGGTACCTCTGGCAACACCCGACGGGAGGGGTGCACACGCCCTCCCGGCCTGGCTGGGCCACCGACCCGCACGCTCGCCCTGCCCCGCGGGGCGCGGCTGCCTGCGCGGCTACCTGCGCCTGGAGGAGGGCACTCGCTCTGGCCCGGACCGCGACGCGCGAGGCGCAGTGACGCACGGCGGGTTTGCGTCGTGTCGAACTTAGCGTTGGTTCCTAACACCGCGGGAATCGTACAAACTTGAACGATCGGCCGTTTCAGAAAAGCTGGATCGTTCAACGATGGGCCGATTCTGTGGCGTCCAGCCTCATGAAATGTCAACGTTGTGGTCGTCGCCAGTCGACACGACTTGAACCTACAATATCATTGCGCCCCTTCAGAGTGACCCGAGCTCGAGCAAGGACGCGCATAACCAGCCATGGTTTTGCCCCTCCCCCTCAGAGTGACAAGCCCACATGCGATGACAATCTTGGGGAGGCGATCCCTCAAGATCGGCATCGAGATCAGGCGATGCCAATCACAGAGATCGGGATCTGTTCCAAGTCAGAAAGCGCAGGCACCGATCCCGGGCGTGCCCCCATCATACTTGAGAGCCACATCCCAGAAGCAATCTCGAACGCCCAGAAAAGTATCGGAACAGCATCGAACGAGTAACTATCGCCTCCCAGGGCCCGACACACGAAAACCCTCACGTTTGGGTGCTTTCTTGGTGCTCGAAGTTCTTTCTGGCGATCAAGGCTAAAGTAGGTTTAGGCCGGGCATGTTCCCGTACAGGCGGATTCTGGGCGAACGCTCCAACATGCCCACAAAAAACCCAAGAAGAGTCAAACAGTGCTGAACAAGTCGTCCCCAGACTACTTCTTTCGACTGCTTTTGAATCCTCCTCCTGTGCGGGGACAGGCCCGACTTTCGGGTCGGGCGAAAGGGGGGGATAGCAAAAGGGGGGGGGGTGAGAATCGGCTCACGTAGCTATCCCGGCGCCCCCCGGCGCCGGCGGCGGCTCTGCATCGAGGAATGGGCCCCTCGGCGAGGCCGAAACCGGCTGCATGCAGCAAATTTCGTAACCCCCCCTTTCCCAAGGAGGAGGAGGAGGAGGAGGAGGAGCACGGAGGAGGAGGAGGAGGAGGACGAAGGAGGAGGACGAGGAGATAGTGGAGGAGGAGGAGGAGGAGGAGGAGGAGGAGGAGGAGGAGGTAGAGGAGGAGGAGGAGGAGGAGGAGGAGGAGGAGGAGGAGGATTTCGCCCGGACCGAGACTTGCAAAGCGGGCCGGAGCAGCACAGAAAACCCGGGCCCGGGACAACAGGGCCCCGCCAGAGGACCGGCGGGGGGCGGCCCGCCGACGTGCGCTCCGACTGCCCAGAGGGGGGCGCCGCGGGGCAAAGATCGGGGATGGACAGACCTCCCTGGATCCTGGGCAAAGATCGGTGGCGGTGGTAATCTTCTGGCCTCCTGGGCGGCCAGAAGATTACCACCAACCCCGAAATCTAGGATCGTCGTCCTTTGGTGGAGGCAACCCCCTGTGTTTTGTGTTGGTGCCCATTTCCAGGCCTCCAATAATCGGGGATGGACAGACCTCCCTCTAGTAAAACGGGGTTTAGTGAAAACGACTTCGGGCCCAAACCTGGCGGGCGCAGGCCTGGAAAACAACGGCCACGGCGCCCTCTCGAGAACCGAAAACGGACAATTCACTAATCGACGTGTCACTATTGGGGGTTCTGTCCACCCCCGAAAAGAGGGACGTTCGCGAGCGCGCGAACGACCGCAGCGGAGCAAGACCAGCGCTACGTCGGGCCTGTCCCTCTACAGGAGGAATGCTAAAACATTGCAAAAAACAAAGTATGGGAGCGATTTGTTTTGGTATGTTTGATTGGCTATGTTTGAGTATTTGATTCTTCGTCCAAATTCCGCGTGTAGGGGGGCATTCCCGACAAGAGACCAGCGGCGACAAGGGCTCCCAACTTCGCGCTTTGCGCTGCGTGAAGCGCGAAGTGCGAATAACTTCGCGCTCAGGCGCCGCCTCCCATGGGAGAAGAGGAGGACGAGGAGGAATCGGAGCCGAACCGCGAAGCGCGAACAACTTCGCGCCCTCGAGGGCGCCCCTGCGGCAACCATGCCCAAGCTCGGCTGCCCACGGATGAGAAGAACAACAAGCGGCAGACGCAAGCTTAGATCGGGCGTGTCCCCCCAGAGGCGGATTGGACGAAAAATTGAAAATACCCCCAAAATGTTCAAACATTTTCAAAAAATACTAAAACAAAAAAATCCCCAGAGTATTTTTGTTGACTGCTTTTGAATCCTCCTCCTGTAGAGGGACACGCCCGACTTGAGCGTGAGCAGAAGCTGCCCGAAGTCCGCGCCGGGCCCTGCGCAGGCCACCCCTCCCCCTTCCCCCGGGGCGCGCGAGGTCTCGCTAAAGGGGCGGCGGCGGAGGCGGGCGCCGACCCAGCCAGTCCGTGCGCGGACCTCCGTGCGCGGACCTCCGAAAAATGTCCGTGTCGGAGGCCACGAAGCGCCAGAGAGGATGCTTATTTACAGCGCATAGCTTGGGAGAAGAGAAGGGGAAAGCTGAGGGGACGAGCCGGACAGCAAGCGCCTGCTCATGCCCCTTTGAAGGGGCCGTGGGACACACAAATAAGTACACACAAATAAAAGGAGTCCCCATACTTTCCCATATTTTCTGGGTTTCTGTCTTCCCCCCCCACTGCCTATATTTTCCCATATTTTCTGGGGAATCGGCGATCAATTGTGTCCGTGTGTTTTTTTCCCTCCTGCCTCTCGCTGTCCGGATCTCCGAAGAAGGTACGCTTCTGCCGCGCCTGACTCCTCGAGGGCAGCGCTCTGGCTCTCGCCCTCCACCCTCCTCCAACAGAAACGGCTGAAGAGAGACGATGTCTGTAGCCGTGCGCACATTTCCTGCCCCTCCCACCCGGCAAGGACCTTGGCGGGAGGGGGGGGCTCATCAGGGAGAAGGTGAAACAAAACAAAAACAAGGCTCCGGCCTCCTGCTGCCCCTCCTCGACGGAGTGCTCCAGCTGCGCCACCCGCCGCGACATCGCCTCCGCGGCGCTCCGCCTGCGGCGGTCGGGGGGGGGGGGTTGCTGGCAATCGGGGGGGCTCCGTGAGACGCGGGCTACGGGGCCGGCCAGGCCTCCGAGGTGGCGGCTTGTTCCGGAGGAGCGCCGTCGCCCACGGCAGAGGGCAGAAGAACCTCGCCATAGGCACACGCCGACAAGCGAGGCCCTTTCAGTAGGCGCGCCCGCGGGAGGCATCGAGCAAGGCAGGCCCAGGCCCTCCGAGACCGAGGGGAGGGCGCAGGCACCGGGCACACGCACGAGCGGGAGGTCCTCTGCTCCCGCGTGCCGCGGAGGCTGCTCCTACTCATAAAATAACATTATCTATGTGCAGAAACAGTTTTTTTTCTGAAAAGTGACCTTAGAAAGTAGGTCAAAGGTCATTTTCAAAGTCACCAATAGAAAGCTCATGCAAGATTCTTTATAGTGTTCCCCACCCTCCTGCTGTTGCCGTCGCACCTTTGCCACGCTTGCGCTGAGTACTACTCTCGCCTCTCCCCGGATGCTGTGCGAGCGGGGCCCGCTCTCTCCCGCGACCGTGCACTCCCGCATGCGTGTGGTTGTGTACCGCAAGGGACTTCGCAAAGGAGAATCCCACCAGCCCTCTGGGCATAATTAGGTGATCTACAGCGCTTCCTCTTCGAACCCCCTTCTTCCCCTTCGGGGAGGGGCTCATCACTGTTCCCCATCAATATACACCCCCTCCCCCAGGCGACCAGCGTCCAACCAAGAACCATGAGGACACCATGACGACCCGACCCCCCACCATCCCTATCAAAAAACAATACAAACCGCACTCTGCCTCCATATTTGAGGCATGCGCGGCCAACCCGATGCGGCACCCCCCATCATCCCTGTCAAAAAACGAAGCAAAGTACACTTAGGGGCAGAGCCTTTGAGTCACGTTCGTGAGGCCCGCGAACACTTTCTATTGTTTTTGACAGGGACGGCGGGGGTGCCAGCATAACCCCTGCCGTGCGAAGGGCTACCATCCCTGACAAAAAACAATACAAAATGCACCTCGCGGATTAATCTGGAGCATGCGCGACCACCCCGCGATCACTGTCAAATGGTTTTTGACAGGGACCGCGGCGGTGGTGGCGCATGCCCTGCTGTGCGCAGGCCCACCAGACACAAGGATGGGCATTGGGTTTCGACAGGGATGACGAGGCGACATGTTTCCCGATGTGTGCTGTCACGTGCACAGGCGTACCTGACGCACTTTGCACGTGCCCCGAACATGGCGCACCTGGCGCGGCTGGGGTGTGCGGCACACCTGGCGCACTCGGAGCACGTGGCGCATCTGGTGCACCAGGCGTGCCTGGCACGCTCGGGCCCCAGGGGTGCCTGGCGCGCGTGGCGCCCCTGGCATGCGTGGCGCACCTCGCCCAAGCGTCGCGCACCTGGGGTCGGCTTTGGTTCCCAGTAGCTGTCCATCCAAAGACGACCGCTGAACATGCTCAGGCTCGGGTATTACTTCTGTGTTGGGAGGGCGGGTGGGAGTGAGCAAGACGGCTACAGGGCGGGTGGGTAGCTTGACTCCTCTTCTACCCCCATCCCCTGGACCTGGACGGGGCGCCCCGCGGGTAGTTAGAGCGTCCAAGATGGCTCAAGACGGCTCCAAGAGCGCCTCGGAGAGCCCAAGATGACCTCCAAGATGGCTCAAGATAGCGCAAGATGCCTCAAGATGGTCCCCAAGATGCTCCAAGAGGCCCCAAGACCAGCCCAAGACGGCTCCAAGAGGCATCCGAGACCCTCCAAGGAGGCACCCAAGAAACAAATATCCTTCACCAACCAACGGGAAACTAATGAGTTGCGTGTCGTCACATGTTTGATTTCAATTGCCTTCCGAAGCCTCAAGATGGCTCAAAGACTGCCCCAGAGAGCCCTAAGAGAGGTCCCAGATAGGCCCACGACGGCCCCAAGAGCGCTCACGAGCGCCCCAAGGGCGCCCCAAGAGCGCCCCAAGAGGCGATGCTGGGGGCTCCCCAAGAACAACGTTAAAACTCCTGTCTGTGTTGATAGATCTCCTTCATCAAAGATGGCCCCAAGAGCGGCCTGAAATCTCCCAAGATCGCTCCAAGCGGGCCCGAGAGGCGCCCAGGCAGCCTAAAGGAGCCTCTAGGAGGCATATAAGAGGCCTCCGAACAAGCAGGATTCCCGAAACACCCAAGACGCTCAAAAGCCCTGGGTCCGCCAAGATGCACCCCCCCCCAGACGCCGCAAGAGGTTGCCGAAAAACTTCCAAAAGATATTCGAGGAGGAGACTCCGAGAACCATTCAAGAGGCTTCTGACTCATCTTCGAGAAGCGGCTCGCGCAGCTGACGAGGCCACAGACACTCGTCGACGCTCGAAGAATCCCTCCTCATCCTCATCGTCACCATCATCTGCATATTCCTTATCATCCTCCGCCCTCCCTGATCTATCCTCCTCCTCTTCTTCCTCCTCCTTCGAAGGATAACGGCTGCATCCCTCGTTGCTCCTACACTTTCCATTTCACCTCTACTCGCCTGGGCGTCGTTTCTGGATGGGCTTGTGGGAATGCGCGGAGCGTCAAGACTTCCAACGTGCTGTCTCGATCAAAAACGGTATGGTGCTTCAAGTGGTGATCCAGCTGTACCGCTTTGCTCCCGTCGTTCACAATGCCGCCCTCGCCCCAGCCAATTCTGGATCCGAGTCCTCCACCGTCGCTGTCGCCCCGCTCCTTTCCCACCTCCACCTTCCACTGGTCCTGCTGCTCCTCCCGCTCCTTCGACTCCTGCTCCTGCTGCCAACGTTCGTCCTCCTCCTCCTCCTCCTCCTCCTCCTCCTCCTCCTCCCTCATCCTCATCCCATCCTCATCCTCATTTTCCTGCGCAACCTCTTGCTATCATCCTCGCCAGCACCGCCTCCTCCTCCTCAAACTTACACACAGCTGCCCTTTTTTGTCCGACTGCCTTTTTCTTTCTGACTCCACATAACACGACAGGGTCCCGTGCGGGTTCCAGGTGTGCTGCACATGACGCCCATCGGCGGACAGAGAACGGCAGCGCAACGGGAGGAGCTGGGTGGGAAAGGTAGGACGTCAGATATGGCGCGAGCGCACCCAGCTTGTCACCCTCCTCCTCTCTCTCTCTCTAGTTCTGCCTCTCCTCCTGCTCCTCCTCCTCCTCCTCCTCTTTCCGTTCCTCGACCTTCTCCTACTCCTCCTCCACCTCATCCTCCCTGTCTCTGGGAGAATATATGCATGACTATAAAGCGTCGGAAGCCCGAGCGGATTTCTGTCGGCGCTGACCTCCCTGGGCGGCGCCGCCATCGGGTTCAGCTGGTCCAGCGCCGATCCAAGAAGTCCGCGCGGACTTCCGAAAACTCAGGTTCATGTGATTTGTTCTTATTCGATCCACCGCCAATGCTCCTCATCCTACGGCAAGCGGGTCCTGGTTCCCAGGGCTTTCCCCTAGGATCAATGTTTCGTCCTGAGTAGTTCTTGACTGTCCCCAGGCCTATGGAGAGCCGGGTGGGCTAAAAACACAAAAACAAGATCCGCTTCCCTAAAGAACTTAGGCGCCCTCCGCTGGACCCGCATCCCAGGCGCGCTCCGCACGCCATGGAGAGGGGTTAAACGCAGCCCAAAATCCGCGCGGACTTCCCAAAGCCCCAAAGCTAATGCTCATGCGATGTGTTCTTCTTCTGTCCACCGGCATTCCTTCTCCTGCTCTGGGGCTGTTCCCCAGACCCAGCCTTTCATCCAGACGCGCTCTTTGATAGTCCTGGGGCCCGTGGAGGGTCTCGTGGGCCAGAGAACGGCGAAGAACCTCCGGGACCCATGTCCATCAAGACCAGGTTGCATCATCACCGCTTACCCAGACGGTTTATAAACCGTCTGGGTAAGCGGTGACTTTCGCGCCATAATTCTAACCTCCCGCGGCCGTTGGAGACGATCGAGCCCCTCTGGAACGCTCCCGACGAGGCACACCTGCCGGAAAGCACCCCGAGGTTGGAAAACATCTGGGAACCGATGGAGACGTCCGAAAACCTCAAACGAAGATCTGCTCCTCCTCCTCCTCCTCCTCCTCCTCCTCCTCCTCCGCTGCCTTTTCGCTCTTAAGATCCACCGCCAATCATCCTCATCCTGTCCCTTCTCCTACTCTCGGTGGCGCGCCCGTGGGTGAAGGCAGAGGGGGCGGGCCTTCTCGGAAGGCTCAGCGGTCATCTGATCTTCTCAGAAGCTTTCCAGGCTTCTCCTCCGAAGCCACAGACAGGGCTGCCTTCCGAAGCCACAGAGAGGGCTTCTTAAAAGGCTAGAGGGCTTCTGAGAAGCCCCGCCGCCTTCTGAGAAAGCCTGCGCCATATCACGCCCCCTTCCCCGCACAAGCTTTCCGTCCCACGCGCCGCGCCGCCTGGCGCCGGCGGCGCCGGCCGCCTCAGCAGAGGCCTTCAGCTCCGCCAGCGCCCAGTGGAGCCGCCTGACGGCGGCGCTCCGCAGCGTCAGCGCCAGGGACGCCTCGGGGACGCCAGAGACGCCTCAGGCCAAGATCGATGCCGAGGCTTTTCGTAGTTTTTGGCGTCTCGCCGTCGTCTGGGCCAAGCTTCGGCCTCCAATGGCCCTCACCGAGCCCCTGGAGGGCGCGAGCAAAAAACTGCTCGGGATGAGTCTGGCCCAAGGGACGGGCTCCAGAATTCTGGAGGTCCACGCTGTGACAAAATCGCGGCGTCGCTGGGAATGTAGCTTGCAACTGCTAGGCAGGTCCCTCTTCCTTGAACAAAAAAGGGGAAGAGGAAGAATGAGCGCGACCACAGAACTTCGCCTGATTCCGCCTCGACAGCTCTGCGAATCAGAAGGTCGCTTGGTAAACCGAACCAACCTGCGATGGGCAAACTCATGCAGTGAACCGTGGCCTGAAAGAGGAACGAGCGTGCTGCATGCGTGAAGAAGGGACAAGCGAGGAGGAAAGAAGGGAGGCATTTGGCAGATCCCACTTCCCCAGGTCACCTGGCTTCAGGCAGCGCGCCCCGCGATGCGTGGGGCGCGGATATCTTCGCGCCCTCGCGCCCCCCGCCTTGGAGAAGGACAGCTGCTCCAGCCCGGGCGGCGACGCGCGAGAGCGCGATGATCTCAGCACCCCTCGAGCACAGGATCGGCTGCAGAACTGTTTTTTTTTTTCCAGCATGACTATTCCCGCCGGATCTGCGAAACGACGCGTGGATTGTCTCTCGTAGATCCACGGGCACTCTGCTGCGCGTTTCTTGCATATCCGGCCCGGCGGGGAGGCCTATGCTGCAGTACATCAATGCTGTAGTCGATCCCCTGTTCGAACTCCCAAGGGTGACGATGGCCTCCAGAGGCCGTTGCCGGGCTTCAGGTCGGCCAGGCCGGCAGCGTGGACAACAAGTGCTGTTGGGCTTTGTGCCAGTGGTTTCCGCACCCATGTCTTAAATCCTCGTTCTGAGGATCTTCCTGGAGCCACTCGCTCCACTCATGCGTCGATGCTGCGTCGAACGTCCGTCGAACTTGAGTCGATTTGAGTCGAACGAGAGGCGACCCAGAGTCGAACTAGAGTTGAACAGATCTGTTAGGTGGCCCCCAGGAAGGTCCCCAGAACGAGCATCGCTCGGGAGCGCTCTCGCCTGGGTGCATCTCCTGGGAATCACCGTGGGCCCTTGGAGGGCCCCGTGGGCCAAAGAACGGCGAACTAATCCCCATAATAAGAAGAGGCGAAATCCAGACGGAGTAAGACCAGGCGGAGACCGAGCACTTCGTATGGACTTCCTCTGTATGGGCTTAGCATCCCATCAGGAGAGGCGATGTTCCGACGGAGCAAGGCCAGACGGAGACCGAACACTTCGGATGCTTTTCCTCCGAATGGGCTTAGCATCCCATCAGGAGAGGCGATGGCCAGACGGAAGTAAGCCCAAACAGAGACCGACAACTCCGTACGGCCTTCCTTCGTGTGGACTTCGCCTCTCCTGACTCCGAGACCCCTTCGCTTCACGGTGATCCTCTGCCCACCGCCTCGGTCGGCGGCCGTTTTCGCGCGCCACACCTCGGGCCTCCAGCGGCAGCTCGAGACTCTTCGGGCCATCCTGGAAGGCTCTCGATGAGGCGCAACTGATGGAAACCACCCCGTGTCTCGAGCCTCCGGAAATCGAGGAGACCTGCGACAACTCGGCACCTCGGCTCTTGCGCAAGCCGCGGGATCCCGGGCCCCCCTCCGCCGCGGCGAAGAGCTCGCGTGTCGACTGGACCGGCGCGCCTTGGATGGGCTCGTCGAGGAGGAGCTGCCCGGGGCGCTCTGAGACCAGGAGGAGTGCATCCGCGTGGATCCGCAGGCCCTCGTCGGAGGGCGCCGGCTGGGCACCCAAGACCCTGTGCCCAGTCGGGCGGGTGTTACGGGAGGGGGGGGCCCAATCTGGTGGGCGAAGACAGGGGCTCTTTAGGACCCTTTCCGGAGCCAATAGGGATGGATCCCAAAGCCTCGAGGGAGACGGGTGTGCGGGGTCGAACTGCTGCAGACTGCAGGGATTGCGCGAGGGCGCCCTGGCCGGCCGCAGTCCAGCGCCGCTGGTGCCGAATTGCGCCTGTCTGCCGGGAGAGAACCCCTCTCCGAGAGGGCCGCGCCAGAAGGAGGAGGAGGAGGAGAAGGAGGAGGAGGAGGAGGAGGAGGAGGAAGAGGAGGAGGAGGAGGAGGAGGAGGCGGAGGCGGAGGCGGAGGAGGAGGAGAAGGAGGAGGAGAGAGGAGGGGAGGAGGAGAGGAGGAGGAGGAGGAGGATAAGGACGAGGAGGATAAGGACGAGGAGAGGGGAGGAGGGGGAGGAGGGCAGGGCGCATCTGCTTGCGGGGAGCCTGCACGCGGGGCCGCGGGCCGAGGGCCAGAGAGGCGGCTCCCCCTTGGGCAGGAAGCTGCCCGCGGCGGCATTGGGCCCCGGGGGCCCAGCGGGGCCCTCCGGGGGCGCTCCGAGGCACTCCGGAGGCCCTCCGAGGCACCTGGAGGCCCCTCGAGGGTCCTCGAAGACCTCTGGGGTCGCACGGGCCCCGGGGGCCCGCGGCGGGACGGGCCCCGGGGGGCCCAGCGGGGCCCTCCAGGGGCGCTCCGAGGCCTTCCGGAGGCCCTCCGGGTCTGGAGGCCCTCGAGAATCCTCGAAGACCTCTGGGGTCGCACGGGAAGCCCCTGAAAAAGTACACGCGTCCAGGAGCCCCAGGAAGCAAGCTGGAGGGCATCCTGGGCTTTCTGGGGGCCCTCGAGGGTCCGTGTGAGAGTCTCTGGAGACACGTGGAGGGAGGTTCCCTGGGAGCTCCTTGGGGAGCACGTGCAAGCATGTGGGCGGCCATCCGAGAGGGCGGGTGGCTTCAGAGAAGGCACGGGCCTTTTTAGCAGGGCCTAAAGGCCTTTAAGACGCCAGCTCAGAAGCAAGGGCGGCTTGGCTTCTGAGACGCCTCCTGACTTCTCAGAAGCCCTTCTCCCTCCCAGGCGGCCCTGCTCGCGCCACGCCCCATGTGTGCACCGCCAGTCCTGGAGGCGCAACATCGAGCCCCTCTCGTCACCAGGGCGGAACTTTTCCCAAGGTGCTGCCTAGCAAGGAACCACGACGCGACGCAGCAGGGCGACGGGCAATAGGCAACCTGTTCCGTCGAAGGCACACAAGTTAGACGGCCAAGCGAATGCGATCCCGCCCTCCTCCCTTGAAGGATAAGGGGACTGGCCAGGGGGGAAGCATCGACTTCGAACCGGCAGTATACCACGTATAGGTCGGCGAACAAAACTCTCGATAACGAAGCCTCGCATTCCTGGGCGGGGCGAATGCGCCACATGAATGGGCTACCGCCACCATCCCTGGGCCAATCCTATGGTGGGTTTGTTTTCCACCAACACCACCATAAGGAGGGGGAGGGGGTCCTCCTCGTTCTCGTCCTCGTTCTCGTCCTCGTCCTCCTCCTCGTCCTCCTCCTCGTCCTCCTCTCCTCCTCCTCCTCCTCCTCCTCCTCCTCCTCCTCCTCCTCGTACTCCTCCTCCTCCCTCCTCCTCCTCCTCCTCCTCCTCCTCCTCCTCGCCTCCTCCTCCTCCTCCTCCTCCTCCCTCCTCCTCCTCCCTCCTCCTCCTCCTCCTCCTCCTCCTCCTCCTCCTCCTCCTCCTCCTCCTCCTCCTCCTCGTCTTCCTCATCCTCCACCTGTTTCCCCCCCTCCAACTTATGGTGGTGGTGGTGGCGGAAAGCAGGCCCATGATCTTGACCCCCACGTCGGAACCCCTGGCCGCCGCGAGCTCGACCTGAACGTGTGCAGCGGCTTCAGAATGTGGAGAGCGGTTCCTTTCAAGAGTGCGGCTCTCGCCCTGGAGAAAGACGAGGAGGAAGGAAGGAGGAAGAGACGGAAGAGGAGGAGGAGGAGGAGGAGGAGGAGGAGGAGGAAGGGAGGAGGAGGAGGATAAGGATATCATCTGGTATGATATGGTACGATATGATGTGCTATGGTTTGATATGTAATGATATGCTGAGATATGATCTGCTATGCGTTTGGGGGCATGTCTCTCTCTCTCTCTCTCGCCTCCGCAGGCCAGCACGCCTCTCATCAGCATCACGTCCCCGCCCCCTGCGAACGATATGGAGTGGCCCCGCTTGATGACATTTACTGCCGTCGGAGCGGGCCTGCGGCGGCCGCCTGACCCCCACGATGACGTCGAAGCGTTGCCGCGTCGGCACAGGGGAACTTTCGCCTCATGCCGATGGTGGGGTAGGCCTGCCTCCGCTGGGCGCAGCCTCCCCCGAACGCCGTTCTCTCTGCCCCTCAGCCGTGCCCAGCAGCTTCCGTGCGCGGGCGCTGCCAGCTGCCGCCATTCTGCGCAACTTCTCCAGTTGCACGATGGTCAGGGCAGTCTCGCTGCTCAGCCACGCATCTTCTGCAGCCCGTGCATCTGCCGCTCCACCACCCTGGTCAGCTCGTCCTTGGGCGCGGGCCCGTCGGACGGCACTCCCCCTGCCTCCTCGAGGGCCTTCGTCATCGCCCTCCTCAGGATGCCCAGGCTGGGCACTTCGCCCTCAACCTTCACCTCAAGCACCCGATCAGCATCTGCACGTCCGCCAACGGGTTGAGATTGAAGCGCACCTTCACCTTCACGTCCTGCTCCGCCGTGCCCTCCTCGCAGTGCGCTTCCTTCACGCGAAAACTGCCGAACACCTCCTTCGCGAACTTCATGCCCTGCTCCGTGTGGAACAGCTTCTGGTACGCCTCGAACACCTCCTTGTGCTGCCCCTCCCGCGCGTCCTCGACCAGCCCGTCGAAAACTCCCGCGGCCACGTGCAGGTATGGCACCCCCAGGCCGTGGCCCGTGTCGAGCCCAGCCTCGAGGCCCATCTTGCACAGCTTGCGCGACTTGCCCAACAGGTAGAAGAGGTACAACATGTGTTCGTGCACGCGGGCTCGCTGGTCTTGCCTCAGGCCCATCTTCTGCAGCGACACCATCGCGTCCACCAGGTCGACCTCGTCCCAGCCCCCTGGCCCTCCGCGCTTGCCCGCGCCCAGGCACGGGTACTTGTGCGCCGGTGGGGCTCCCTTGTCGCCTTTGCCGTGCGCCGCCCCTGCCGCGGCTGCGCCCTGGGCTGGGTGCACTAGCGCGAGCTGTCCCCATCGGGAGCCTGCGGAGGCACTTGCGCTTGGGGCACCTCCCGCGGCATGGGCCCCCGCCACTCTCCAAGCCATCGCCTCCTCGATCCTCAGCGTCACGAATAAAGCGATCCCGATCGGGCCCAGGGTGATGGGTACAGACATGGGCTTGCAGTGCTTCCAAACTTTGAGCCTGAGTGTAACATACATGGCACTCCAGGGACTTCGGTTGTACGACCTTGTGCCTCCATGGGATGAAATTGACGACACATAACTTTCTGTCTTCGCCCGCCGAATACACATGTTGGACGGCCACGTCTCTGTTGGAGAAATGGCTGCGACACCACGGCCATTGGCTTGTAACCGTCAACGAGCTCAACAAAGCTATTTGTCCGTGCTGATACGTTTTGTGAGTTGCAACACACAAAAGGGAAGAGGAGGAGAAGGAGGAGGACAAGGAGGACAAGGAGGAGGAGGAGCAGGAGGAGCGCGTTGCACATGCGTCGTGCAAGTGCTCCACAGCTGCAAGGATGCAGGGTGGCTCCCTACTCGGAGCAGGGATTTTCCTCGCTCGAGGCCTCTACTTAGGGCTTCTTGTTGAGAGACTGGTGAACGCGTGTGGCAGCTGCGCGAATGGACAGTGGTTCCTTTTCGAAACAGTGCCCTCGCGTGAGACCCCCTCGCAGCTCAGGTGCACGAGTGCGAACCTTTGCGCAAGAATTGCGCAGCTGGGGCGGTCTTTCATCCCAAACGAACGTGCCGCTGGACACCTCATGGAACTGTACACCCTGCGAAATGCTTTAGAAATCATGGATTAAGAAATTCATAGTCTCAGACTCTGAATGAAAACCCCGAATGTCTGTTCAAATCTTGGGATTTACAGTGAAACATTAAGAATAGTCGAGACTCTGGCCGAAAACTTGGGTTTTCTTAAGTATCGCCTAGAGTGTATGATCGGACCCTTAGTATTCCTTACTACCCCCTGGAAGCATGCAAGACAGCTCCATTCCAAAACGGGGCTCCCGCCTGAATGGCAGGCCCACAGGTGCTCGTGTTTTCAAGGGGGCGCTTTCTGAAGTACAAAGGCGGGTTTGTGGGGATAATGTTCAGTGGGGGGACTTGGGAAGGGAGTGCACACATGGCAACATCGCTGATGCATCTGGGGTTTCCTCTGGCTCTTCATTTCCCCCTCCTCCCCCTCCTCCCTTCTGCTCCTTCTGCTCCTTCTGCTCCATTCTGCTCCTCCTCCTCCTCCTTCTCCTCCTCCTCCTCCAGTTCCTCCTCCTCCTCCTCCTCTTCCTCCTCCTCCTCCTGCTCCTCCTCCTCCTCCTCCTCCTCCTGCCCCCACTCCCTCTCCTCTCGCTCCTCTCTTCTCCCCTGAGGTCCAACGCCGCGACCATGGAACCGCCGCGCCGTGAACATCCACGACCATAGAAGAAGAACAACCACGTAAACAGAAACTTCTGGCGCTCCGCGCGGATTTCTTGGATTCGCGCGGAGCGCGCCAGGGGCGGCGCCGAAGGCGCCGCCGGGGGGCCCAGGCGCGGATCCAAGAAATCCGCGCGGAGCGCCCAAAATTCATGTTTATGTGGTTTTCTCTTCGTCGAGACCTGGGCCCTCGACCCGAACCCTCCCGGCCGGACCGATCCTGCGAGGGCCGCCGCCGCCGGCCCTCGCAGGATCGGTCCGGCGCCCGCCCAGGGGCCGCCACTGGGCTTAGGTCGGGCATGTCCCCCTACAGGCGGATTTTGGGCGA